CTGGAGGGAAAAAGAAAAAGTATGGGAAATATGAGTTAGTGATGAGTTATCTGCTGAAAATTAAAGTAGAAGATCGGGTAGCAAGGGTCTGGGAAGGTTGTTTAGACTGATCCAAGAAAGCTTCTCCGAGTTTAGCACATTTAAGCAACATGTGAGCAGAAAGACAGATCAGCCTTGGAAAGGTCTAGAGAAGAAAGTTCCAGACTGAGAGAGCAGTAAGTCCAAGAGATGTGAGTTACAAACAATCTTGTTGTTCAAGGAAAAGAAATAAGGCAATGATGGTGAGAGCGTAATGAGTTGCAGAGATGGGAGAACCACCAGGGCAGGGACTTTTTGTTTTGTTCACTAAGTATCGACTGGATCAAACAGAGCCTGGTGCACAGGAGGTCCTTAATATGCACGGACTGAGTAAATGAATGAACTAAAGGATCTGATTCAAGATGGATTTAGAGGATCAGGGAAAGGCCTGATCTTGAAACTACAATCAGAAATGTAGTCTTGTTTTAAGTGTAACAGAATATTTTAAGGGATGTGTGGTAGACTGAACAAAGGCCCCCCTGAAGATGTCCACAGTCCTAGTTCTCAGAGCCTGTGAATGTTATCTTATGTAATAAAAGAGACTTTGCAGATAGGATTAGGTAAAGGATCTTGAAATTGGGGAGATTATCCTGGATTATCCAGCGGGCTCCATGTGTCAAGTGTCCTTATAACAAAGAGGGAGGAAGATCAATCAGAGAAGAGTTTGTGATCATGGATGCTGAGGTCGGAGTAGTGCTGGCTTCAAGCCATGGAATGTGGGCAGCTTTTAGAAGCTTAAAAAGACAAGGAAATTCTCCACGAGGGTCTCCAGAAGGAGCACTGCCTGCTGACCCATTTCAGTCTTCAGACCTGGAGAACTGAAATGGTAAATGTGTGTTGTTTTAAGCATTACATTTGCAGCAACTTGTTACAGCAGTAGTCAGGAACTAATACAAGATTATTCCACATTAAAGACAGTGGCCATTTAATAAGTTGCAAATATGGAGAAGGATACATTTTTCAAAGTGAAATATCATTTGTTATCCAAATTAAGATACATTTTAAATTTAGTTACAAAATGTAGCTGGATTCCGCTTCCTATATCTTCTGTAATCTCACAATAGACTTTAGAAAAGGATGGAGGAATTGAAGAGAGTGATAAAACAAGTGAATCTCAGAATGAGAGATGTAACTAGAAAAAAAGTTATACAGGGAAAAAAGTGAGTCCAGTAGACAGAGGGAAAGGAGCTGGAAGGAAAAGGAATGGGTGTTAATTCCTGCTGCTGTGTAACAAATCAACCCTCAGTTTTGCAGTTTAAAACAATAAACGTTTATCCCAACCAGTATCCGAGTGGCAGGAGCCCAGAAGTGCAGGTGTGCATGGTTCTAGCTCAGGGTTCCACGCTGATGATGTGGCATTATCTGAAGGCTTGACTGGGGCTGGAGCATCCGTTGCCAGGACAGCTTGCTCACATGTCTGTTGGCTGGAGTCCTTGGTTCTTTTCCATGTGGACTTCCTCATGGTACTGCTTGAAAATCCTCACAGCTTGATGGCAGACTCCCCGTCAAATGAACAATCCAAGACAGAGCTGGGAGGGAGCCCCAGTGCCTTTTCTGTGGCCTCGTCTCAGGAGTCACTCTGTCATCTCCTCAGTATTCTGTTGATCGGAATCGAGGCACTATGTCCAAGCCACACTCATGGGTGAAGGACTGGACTCCTGCATGTGCAGGGAATGTCAGAAAACCACCGCAGAAGAAAGAGGAGTGAAGAGAAATTTGAGTAAAACAAGTATTTCTCATTTGTTCACAAAGAAACCTTGGATATGTCCATTTTTCTCCACTCATCTCTCTCCCTCCATCAGGGAACAATGGATGTGTGTTTGTGTGTCTGAGTGTGTATGTGTGTGTGAGTATATGTGTGTGACTGTGAATGGATGTGAATGTGCATGTGTGTATGCGTGAATGTGTGTGTGTGTGTGTCTCTAGCAAGACAGATGTAGAGTTCCCAGCTGCTTCCCACTTTTGACTTCTGCCAGACACATCAGCCTTTAGCCCAGTGTCCCCAGAGGCCGCTCATTCTACACGCAAGCATGCCTCTGTGTCCAGATCATCTAACCAAAGCTCACAGTTTTGAGGGCCCCCTTCAACACACTGGTTTGCTGAATTCCCCCAAAAGAAATCCTGCCTTGTTACATGCACTTTGCCAAGTCATCATCCAAGCAGAGGTGGTTAAGCTGTCCCTGACCAGAGATCCACTGTGGTTCTCAGAAGTCCGGGAAGCACGTGTGGGTTGCAGAGATAATCTTGGGCAGAAAGTTCAGAGATTTGGGTTAAGCGCTGTGATAAGTTCGTTGGCATGTGAGGCGCAGATGGAGCCAGCCTGGAAAGGTGGAGGGGATGTGGGTAGGGAACCTCTGTCCACGCCTGACTTGGAATTAGGTTACACTGGTTCGTGAGAAAGGTGATGGAGTGAACACCGCGGTAACGAGTCATCTGAAATGCCATCTTCTTTTCATCCTCTCTCTTCTCCTCTGATATTAGATTAGTCCTTTACCTTTTCTTTGACTTTCCCCCTTTCCTTTCCTATCTCTTTTCTAGTTGTTAAAAAACAGGAAAAATTGCTCTATTATAATAGAATGCCTTTAGATTGTCTTAAATTTGTTTCATGGCAATGTATTTTATAGCAAAACATACCATCCATATTGTAAAACATTTAAAAGCCTCAATTTTCATGTATTTGTATTTTCAAATCAGGATGTAAGAATGAAAAATACTCATGTTTTATGTCTGTATATGTGCATATACACTTAGAAAAACAAAATAGCCTATAATGGAAAATAATCTGAAAAAATATATAAATGCAACCGAATCACTTTGCTGTACACCATAAACTAATCCAATGTTGTAAATCAACTATATTTCAATTTAAAAAACAGACACAAACCCTTTAATGTGATATTTTAAAAAGTTATCCCCAAATACAAGGGTAGATAGTAATTTCATTTTAATGTGCTTTTTTTTTTAAAACTGAAACTAATGATTTTACTAGAAAAAAGAATATTGTTGTGAGACTACAAATGAATCAAAGTATTCATTTTGATTATTTTGATTATGCAGAATTCAGTAAGACATTTCTTAATGGGTTGAATAAACAGCTTCATATATTTTTTAAATCAAAATAAATGCATGTGAAGTTCTTCCTGCCATTTCACATCTGTCAAAGTCAGCATGTATTTTGAGCAGATGAACATTTCTGTGTTCCAATGAGCATTTTTGGTATGCTCAATTTAGGACACTAATGACAATGCAAACATGCACACAGAAATGCATAGGAAATGGTCCACGTGCTAAGGCAGAAGTGGGCAAAATTTTTCTGTAAAAGGCCAGATAGTACATTGTTTAGGCTGTCTCTGTCACACAATCTCAGCTTTTGTCTCATAGGACGAAAGCAGAGATAGACAATGTAAACGAACAGGCAGGGCTGTGTTCCAATAAAACTTTATTTACAAAAACAGGCTGGCAGGATTTGCCCTCAAGGCAACCCCCTATACTGAAGGATTGATTATGCATTCTGGGCACCAAAAGCATTTTGTTTCCTTTGCATTTACCTAAATAAGATTCCCAGCAAGTGTTATTTTGAAAGGCAGTCTGAAGAGTTTGTCTCTATAGTCACATTTCTATAGAACTGATTTTAAGCTGTCATTTTTAGTTAGTAACAATCAAATATTATTGACTTTCAGACTATTGTTAATGCTCTTGGATAGTTCGACAGGTGCATTGCAAGGAACTAATAAATTTCAGAAATAAGTGAGTTCTGTTTACTCATACGGTGATGAAGGAAACACAATCTCATTTTAAAACTTATTGAAAGCGTATTAAATAAGTAAGCTGGAAGTTGTGTTTCTAAAGACAGCTATGATTTTTATTCCCAGTATCTGCATGATGAGGTCTCTTTAGGTTAGTCTTAGGGGGAAATACAGTCTTTCTTCCATAGGAAAAGAGAATATTATTCTTTGTTTTTTCTTACATTTATGTGTGCTATTTTGAACAACAAAAAGAATAATTATTTTAGAAACATATTCAAGTGATACTGTAACATGTGTGTAATCTTTAAGGCTTTTCTAAGGTTTTTTAAAGTCTCTTTGTGATTTGTTGACATGCCCTCCACTTTCTACTGCTCTGTGTGTTGTTGCATGAGGAAGAACAAATGATAGGTCATACATGAGCATTGTTTTCAGAGAAAAGCAAACAGAATTGTCACAAGGGACAGTAAATTTAAGTTTCTTGTAG